CTGCGGAGGGTAACCTGCTTGCACCGGAGGCCTATCTTCGTTCGAGGAGGCTGATGGTCCTCGTGGTCCATCCTCGTGGGATGTTGCAGAAGGAGGCCAGACCCTGCCTCTGCCTGGGTTCGATCCCAGCCCCAGTGCTTACTGGCCAGGTGCCCGGGAAACTGACCTCTCTAGGCCTCAGACTCCTTATCAACCAACCAAGAGAGATGAGAGCACAGACTTCTTGGAGTTGGCAAGTGTCACTTAGGGTAACAGATGTGAAACCCTTGGTGCCAGTCCTGGCATGGACTCAACGTGAGCTTTGACTGGGGTTATTATTATGAGAATGATTTGCTAAGCAGTTGCCCATGGGGGTTTGGCATCGGAGTCTCCTGAGCCTGGGGAAAGGTCGTGAACAGGAGAGGGGCAGGACGTGTACGCAAGAGTCCCATAGCAGGCCTGGGACTGCTCTCCTCCAGAAGGCCTGTGTCCGGGCTTGGTGTCTGGGAACTTGGATTTCGGGAGGGTTCCCCCATTCTCTAAGAATGGATCCTGGGGCACCTGCCTGGCTCAGTCGGTGGAGCGTGCAACTCTTGATTCTTGGGGTTGTGAGTTCAAACCCCATGTTGGGTGTGGAGCCTTCTTAAAAAAACAAAAACAAACAAACAAAAAAAGAATGGATGCTGTGCCTCAAATGTTTGTTTATGCAGGACATCTGCTTTCCTTCCGGGAGGCTGGAATCCTGCTACGTGCCGGGCAGAGAGTGCCTGCATGACCAGCACTCAGTAAAAACCCCCGGGGCCAGGTCTCTGTTGAGCCTCCCCGTTGGCTGGAATCTTGTTGGTTGGAATCTTGCACCTGGAGCCCCCCACTTCCCCCACCAACTTCGCTTGAAGGGGTAAAGCAAAACATCTTGAGTGGGCTAAAAATAAACATGAAGCTTTCGGCTTTATTTCCAGGTCCTGTATGCAGCATTGCCTCTGCACCCCATCTTGGATCCCATCCCCAAACCCTCTTTAGCACTCAACCTTTCTCTGTTATTGGCCCCCACCTGATACCCCACCATTTTGCAGACTCAGATTTGGATTTGCCTCACATTTTTTTTCACTTAATTGGAAAGGAATATTCCTCTCGGTCGTTATGGAATGAAAACAGAATTGTGTTTCTGAATGTCTTTTTTCTTTCCCAGTTTGTTTCCCGAAGGAGAAAATTTGCTATTGGAGCTGATGGTTTCCCCAAATCAAAGTGCCGTCTTTCACTGCAAAGGACTCACGGCTACCGAGTGGGGCAAAGGAGAGCTGTGTGGGTCAGCTCTGAGCTCCAACCCAAGGCTAAAGATAGAACTTGTTCATACAGGAGTTTCAAAGTCTTCATGTAGAATCTGCGGTAATGGCAAGCTGTCCATTATAAAACTGACCCCAGTAAAAGATCTGTAGCTCCACTGTTTTGTCGTTAAGTTAGATCAGGGAAAAGCTAGTGCTACCCAAACTTCTAGAGGTTTTAACCAGGCCTGGTGGCTGGCCCCGGGACCCTTCACATTGGAACCTACTGTATCCGTTGCCGTGTTTCCATTTTGAACCTGCACGTGTCTGTTGGGGGTTCAGACCCAAAACCTCATGCACGTTCCTTTCACAGAATGAGCGAGGCTGAGGGGGCGGTGAATGGTGTCTGGAGACTCCCTAACAGTCTGCTTTCCCCATATGTGGGTCTTCAAACCGATTCAAAATTGTTTGCGAAGATGGAGATAGCTCGGGTAATAACCGGGTCATGCGTGCGTGGAGTTTGTCACATCATTCTCTGCATTTTTTAAATGTTTGAAAATTTCCATAATGAGAAGTGTTTTTCAGAAGTCACATTTGACCTAAATTACATAAAAGAAAGGAAATGGGGGCGCTTAAGCGTCTGCCTTCGGCTCAGGTCATGATCTCCAGGGTCCTGGGATCAAGCCCCGCATCGGGCTCCCTGCTCGGCGGGGAGCCTGCTTCTCCCTCTCCCACTCCCCCTGCTTGTGTTCCCTCTCTCGCTGTGTCTCTCTCTGTCAAATGAATAAATAAAATCTTAAAAAAAACAAAAAACAAAAAAAAGAAAGGAAATGGGTAGCAGTCGTCTTCTGGCGGGTTGTTTGCTAAGACCCCATGGGGCCTGCAGGTCCAGAGGGGCACAAATGTTGGGGAGGTTCATTTGCACGACAGAGTCAAGTTTAAATTATGATGAAGGCATCTTTCCCACCTTAAGAGAAGAAGAGCGGGGATGGGAAGGGGAGGAAAACCTGCAGAAAAAAGAGCCTCGAGAGCAATTGCCAGGTATGGCCCTCATTAGGCTCCTGATGCAAGCCAGAGGGCCATAAGAAAGCACTGAAGAGACCGCGGGAGATGTCTGAACACTGATTAGATACCAGTGGATCCCTCAAGGCACCCAGGCCTCTCTCTCGGGGACACATGTCCACCTCCATGGGACAGGCTCCTCTGAGCGTCTGATACAGCCACACAGAGCCAAAGTTCTTGATAATACTGTTTATTGTCCATTGACCGAGCGATCACTCAAGAATGATACAAAGCATCGAAGACATGCGCAGTCTGCTTGTCAACGTTCAACAGCTCTCACGTGTTCCCAGCACAGGAAGGTCTCAGACTTCATATTCCAGCAAAAACACATTGCCCAAAAGTTAAAAAAAAAAAAAAAAAAATCCAAAAAAAACCCCCCCAAAAACAAGCAAAAACAAACACAAACAAAGCTTTAAATTACGGCAGCAAGTCCGATATTTCTTAATACTTATCAAGCAAAGGTTTGAAAATAACTACAATGTAAACTTCATTTTAAATATTTTGAGTTGCTTGCATGAAGACAAGAATGGAAGGAGGAATGAGCAGTGCATAGAACATAACATATAAATTAAACAATGCCGAATGGAGAGCCTTCCTCAACTACATGCAAGTTGCAATTGTTGACTCTGACGGTATCTGGGCGGCTTTGTCTCTTGCCTGCCACCGGGCACTTCATCTTGAATTTTTTGTTTCTGTTTTTGTTTTCTGCTCAGCATGGCTAGAAGACCAATGTGTGTGGACTGGGTATAAGCACCAACTTTTAGAACCAACCAACTCAAAGATCCTTTACTTTGTAATGATTTGAACCAGAGGACAAAAGGTAGCAGATGGAAAAAGCAACCATACTCTAAGAAGGAAAGAAAAGATCTGAAGGAATCCACCATCATAGGCTAGCTACCATGCTTTCCATTCAGGGTCAAAAGCTTCCACGATGCAGAAACCTTAAAAAAAAAAAGTGCAAGTCTAACACCTACCAAGGGTAATAAAAAAACACAGCACAGGAATGATTACAGCTGATGTCAGAAACAAACCAAAACATTTAAAAAATCAGCAGAAACAGGAGTAAATGTTACATATGATAACACCATACAGGGAGCAAACAGGGGTGGGGTGTTATATTGATTGGAGGGGTCTGGTGTTCTCGTATATACTGAAACCACATGGACTGGTCCGTGATGACATCTTACACACTTTCTATCACTGTACAGCATGAAAGCACCCTTAACGCGGGGGCTGATTCCTGGCTATTTCCCTAGTCTGCCCTAGAAAGGGAAGTCATCAAAATCTATGCTGACCAGGTCCCGGCAGGCATGGGGGGCTACCCGCGTGGGGGTCAGGAGTCTTACGGGTGGTTTGGGGTCACCGCAGAGTGTACAGCAATGCTTAGAACGTGGTGACTTGGGAAGCATTCCGCAGGAGGACCACTCACAGGCTGACACACTCGGGTTTCCATGCGTGTGTGTGTTCGCGCATGTGCTTGCGTCCACGTACGTGCCTAATGTGCGTGAAAAACTCAGAACGGTTTAGACCATATACAAGTAGGAAGAAAAAGATGACTTTTTGTTACTGAGAGATTTCTGCTTGCGTTAATCCCCTTTTTAACTGGCCGCAGAAAGCCGTGCTCAGGGAACAGGTTCTACAGTCCCTAGGACGTTTTTTGACCGAGAGATCGAATCTGACAAATCTAAGTGGAGGCTGGTACAGCTGGGATTTGGGTTCACAGATTATCTGAGAATTGATCTTTAGAAAAATGAGATGTTGGCCACAGCATCCCGGAGGCCCAGAAAGAGATTCACCGAACCCACCTACCTCCCCAATTTCTCTCTTCTTAGGTAAGACTTCACAACACGCCCAGCTAACTTCACTCCCAGAAATCCGTGCCCAGCGCAGTGACTGTCCGTCTTTGCGGGGGGAGGGGGGGTGTCATGGTAAAGCTGTGGCACCTGCTCAGGAGGGGCTCTGAGGTGCGTTGGGGGGCACAGCAGGACCCAGTTTTCGATGTCCTCGGGATGTGCAAACAGAGCACAACCAGCCTGTGCCACTGGCCTTGCAAAGCCAACGTGTGCAACTCAGCTGGATGCCTGATGCCAGAAGGAGGAGGAGGAAGCCAGACTGATTTCAGAAGCCTGGGAATAAACAGCAAGGGGAGCCAAGTGTCCCCCCAAACGTCTGCCCTTGGGGCAGAATGCCATGGACTCCCCCAGAGTCGGGGTGTGTGGTAGGGGGACTGAAAAGGACTTGGCCGAAGCTGAAGCTTGTCACCCGCATCGTACAAGGCCCTGGAGCGTGGCTCCCACTGCGAGTCTGAGGATTAGCAAGATTAACTGGGGCTCCTTCGAGAGCGAGCCACTGGTCCAGGGCTGCTTCTGTACTTATGGGAGTCACAGGTACTGGGAGTCCGTGATGGGCACCGAGGAGACAGGGGCACCTGCAAGGGGCGGGGACTGCCACTGTAGGGCCAGAGGTGTGGAAGCTGCAGGAAACGAGGGACATGCCCCTCTCGAGATGAAAGGGACCTGGTAGGCCTGCTACACAGTCTTGCAACGACCCTCTAATTTTCTGCAAAATGCACATTTCCAGGCTCTGCCCTGACCAGGCATGGGGGACTCCTACGTACGGGCCGCCTGCTCAGTGTTTTTAACAGTGCCAGGGTTGGGGCTGGGCCCATGCATTCCACCCCTGCCCGCACCCAAGGATGCCCAGGCTGGCGGATGGGGTGTGGGACCACGACCACATTTAAAAGGGAAATGGGGGTGGGAGGAGACTCACACTAATTTAGACCCACTTGGATGACTGTTTTATTCATGCTGTTTCCGGGAAGGGATGTCAGAGCTGGACCAGTCTAAACTCTTGGAGGCTTTTCCGTTGGCCAAAGGGGTGCTATTGGCCTGCTTACGGGTCCTCAATATCGAGAAACTCCTGCTTGGGGGGTGCTGCTCCGCGGTACCACGCACAGGAGCCGTCGCTTCTCTTGATGCAGGCGAAGAACTTGGCCTGATGCCCGTTGATGTTCTTCTCCGTGACCCAGTCCATCCAGAGGCACTCGTCCGGAGACGAGATGTAGCACGGGATCATGGGGCAGCGCGTGATCTAGGAAGAGGGACACGGAGGCGGATCCGGTCAGGGACCGAGGCCACTCAAGGAGGCATCTCCAGAGCCTAGCCATGCACCCGGCAAAGACGTTCAAGGGCGGTTTGTCAAATGAATGACCACATGAGCACAGCGGCGGGGCAGGAAACGGGGGCTCGAGTCAAGCCTGCTCCATCAGCAGCCTTTCCTGAGCTCCCCCTACTCTCTAAACAGCAGCAAGGCAGGCTGCCTGGGCGGGGGGGATGGGGCCTGGCGGGACCCCTGTGCACTGCCCCCGTGCCCCCAGCGATGGCCGGTGGCCCCTCTGAGCATGACACGAAGGCCTCAGCGTAGCCCCACCCTCCTGGGAGGAGAACGACAACCACAGAGGGTCTTAAATTTCCTGGAGCTGGGTTCTAGTCACATAAAAAGGATGCTGTCTTGCTCCGAAGCATGCACAGGCTTTGGGGGTATTGGCAAGCAGCACTGTGGTGGAGGAAACTCAGGCCACAGAGGGAAAGGGAAGAACTCAGTTTTATTTTGTTTTGAATTTTTAAATTTAAATTCAGCGAATTAACACGGAGTGTAGTATTGGTTTCAGAGGTAGAGGTCAGGGATACATCAGTTGTATGTAACACCCAGTGCTCATTCCAGCCCGTGCCCTCCGTAGTGCCCGGCACCCAGTGACCCCTTCCCCCCAACCCTTCCCCTCCAGCAGCCCTCAGTTTCTTTCCTATGCTTGAGTCTCTTACGGTTTGTCTCCCTCTCTGGTTTCGTCTTGTTTCATTTTTCCCTCCCTTCCCTTATGCTCCTGTTTCGTTTCTTAAATTCCACATATGCGTGAAATCATATAATAATTGTCTTTCTCTGATTGACTTATTTTGCTTAGCGTAACACCCTCCAGTTCCAGCCAGATCGCTGCAAGTGGCAAGATTTCATTTGTTTTGATACTGAAGAACTCAGTTTTAATTTCACGTTGGGCGCGGGGCCGTTTGCTCCACATACACGTTGCCGTGGGTCAGAATTTACACTTCGAATGAGCTGAGGGACTGGCTGGCGATGACGTATCTGCACAAGCAAGAGCGCTGATCCGCAAAAGCCAGTCCCTGCAGCCTTCCAGCCCCAGACCCACTTCTGGGGGCAGAGGGGCCCTGGCACCTGACGGTGCTTTCTGTGCTGGGGCTGGAGGCACAGGCGGTGGGGGGATGAAGGGCAGCAGGAGAGAGACGCCCCAAGCCTGGGGCCGTGGAGGCCTGTCTGTGGCTGCGCCTAACGTTAGCACTGCTCCAGCTGTTGTGCTCAGCCCCGCCTCTGGGCTGCCTTTCTTTTTTTTAAGATTTTATTTATTTGGAGGGAGCATGGGCAGGGGGGAGGGGCAGAGGGA